TGGAAATGGTCTGCGACTGGCTTCCACTGCAACCCCAGTGACTTGACTGTATCATCGTCTCCTATGTTTAATACGAACAGGGGGTCATCAACACGCTTGGGCATATTTTGAAGGAACAAYTCGGAATTKGAACACCATTTCCTTAACGGTAACTTTGCTGAATCTAGTACTGCACTGATGTCTCTTTGCAATTGACAGCATTCATCCTCTGTGTCGGCTCCCGTCATTAGATCATCCATGTAAAAATCTTCGGTGATCACTTTTGAAGCCTTCGGGTAGTCATTCTGGACACTTTCTGCGAGTGCTATGAGACAATAGGTGGACAGGAATGAGGCAGGGGTCGTTCCGTACGTGACTGTAGTAAGTTGATATGAACGGAGTGCTTCTTCAGGGCTGGATCTCCAAACAATTCTTTGTAGGTCCCAGTCTTCTCTTCCCACCTTTATTTGTCGAAACATTTTTTCTATGTCGGAAGTTAGGACAAATTGATGCTTGCGGAAGCGAACTAATATTGAAAATAAATCTTGCTGGACAGTTGGACCGCATCTCAATACATCATTAAGGGATACACCAGATGCGCTCTTGGCCGAAGCGTCGAAAACTACTCGGACCWTTGTTGTCAAACTTGACGCCTTTGTTACCGCATKKTGYGGTAGATAAAAATGATTCTGAGTCTGAATCGAGTCTTCCAATACTTCAACCATATGTCCCAATTCTATATACTCACTCATGAAACGTATGTATTCATTCTTCAAGTTTTCGTCATTCTGTAATCTTTTCTCTACATTCAGGAACCGGGCGGTCGCCATAGGCAATGTTACACCTATTTCACTGATTTTCTGCTTGATGGGAAGTCGGACSACGAAACGCCCCTCTTCATCACGAGTTGTATATTGCTTAAAATGTTGGACTGTTTATTGCTCTTCTTGACTTCTCTTATTCGCCCTCGATGCCCGTCCGTAGTTGTCCTTGATGGTACTGAGAACCTTCCAATCTTCCTCTATTGTTTGACCCATTGAAAGAAGTGCTGGTGCATGTTGGTTAAAAAGTTCTCCCGTTACCAGCCATCCGAAATTGCTCTCATATAGAGTCACTGAGCCTATGTTTAGTGGTATTTTTCTTGTTCCCAAAACATCAAAGAACGAACCACCTCCAATCAGCAGATCAATACCTTGCGGATGGTGGAAGTCCGGATCAGCTAGATATGGAGACACAAATCCTGGTATACCCCARCCATCTGCTGGTTCTGGACAAGACGCTAGTTCTCCTACGATATTAGGCAATACATAACAGGAAATCGTAATACTGAATGCACTAGTTCTTGATTCTATTTTCAGCTCACTACACGACCTTGCTMTTAAACGATTATCTCCAATACCACTTATTGGCAATGAAGACCTCTTGCRTGTTAACTGCAGTAAGTTTGCATATTTCCTTGAAACAAAATTGACTTGGGAGCCACTATCTAAGATCGCTCTGCACTGGCGGCGTTCACCATTTTTATCTCGAACTATAACTAAAGCTGTCGCAAGAAATACGTGTGCATTTCTCATGGCGATTTCTGCTGGTACCGGTGCAGATACTAGGACTCCAGACGTAGATGTTGACTGACCCTTATCTGACTGTTGCTCTTGGAGCTTCTCCTTCTCTTCAGTTTTTTCCTTTCTTTCAAAGTGCAACATTGAATAATGGTTACGGTTACACGTTCGACACCTATAAGTAGATCTACAAACATTCGCCATATGCCCGATGGACAAACAATTGAAACATATACCCTTTCCCTGGACAAATGAGATACGTGTATTTATAGGTACTGCTTTGAACTCCTCACAATTAAATAATTTATGTGGTTTAGTGCAGTATTGGCAGGATACTGTATCAGCAGCTGCTACAAAGGCTCGCCTTGGTTCAGTAGAAGAATGTTTGGCACTACCTTTCCTTGTTGTTTCACTACTCAAATTTGTCTTAATATCCTTTTTTGACCCGGATGCTGCTTCTGAAGATTCAAAGGCTACACACCGACTGGATAAGAATGTCTCCAAGTCACAATACTTAGGAAGTTGAGTGTTTTGTTGTCTTAATTGCCAGCCATGACTGGTAGCAGCATCTAAGCGGCTTACGATTATCGTCACCAACCACGCATCCCAATGTTCCGTTGGTTGATTTAGAACTCTTAGCGCTGCAATATGAGCACTTACATGTGAATGTAATGCTTGCAGTTCTTTAGCTGTCGGGTGCTCTACATAGGGTGATTCCAGAAGAGACCGAATGTGGGATTGAATGACAAGACAGCGATTGTCATATCGTTGTTTCAGGCGTTCTATAGCCACTTCATAATTAGCATCTGTCATTGGAATCGACTTGATTAGGTCTAACGCTGGACCACTAACACTTGATCGGAGATAGTAGAATTTTTGTGCGGGCGTAAATCCTCCATCGTCGTGTATCATAGCTCGGAAACAATCGAAAAATGACTCCCAATCTTGGATATCGCCGTCAAATGTTGGTAGCGTAATGATAGGCAATTGAGCACGGCTGTGACCCGCTGACATATTATTGAAGGTTGAGTTGTGACAGCTGCTGTTGACACTCTTTCTTGCATTTACTATTTCTTGAATATTGGAACGAATAGTAAAGTATTCGAATTCGAACTTATTCCGCTCCTCCTCCTCCTTGTCGAAGTCTTCCCGCGCCGTCTATTCTCTCTGTCAACCGCCAATCGACGACGGCCGACACCGACACGCGATAAGCGCGCCTGGAAATGTCGACCACCGGTACCGCGAACCGGCTTGTAGTAAGTTTCAGTTCTACGACCGCGCTTGCAGTGATCACCACATCACACCCATCGTCCTCGCACGTGTCGTACCA